TTTTCCGACAATCTGAGGAAGGAAAAATAACAATTCTAATTGTGTATGTAAACGATATAATCCTCACAGGAGATAACTTAACTGAGATGGACAGGCTAAAGAAGAGTCTTGCCTCTGAATTCGAAGTAAAAGACCTAAATCAGATACGGTACCTCTTATGTATGGAGGTCGCGAGATCAAAAAGGGGTATCAGTATGTCACAGAGGAAATACATTATCGACCTGCTGACCAAAACTGGCATGCTCGGTTGTAAACCGAGCAAACACACCTATAGATTGTGGGAAAAGAGCAGAGGCGACGGGAAAACTGGTTGATAAAGAAAGATACCAACGACTGGTTGGTAAGTTAATCTACCTATCACACACGAGACCAGACATTACCTTTGCAGTCAGCGTGGCAAGCCAACACATGCATTCGCCGAAGGAAACTGACCTAGAAGCAGTGTACAAAATTCTCAGATATCTAAAAGGTACCTCAGGAAAGGGTTTGTTTTTCAAGAAGAGTGAAGAAAGAAGTAGAAATATTTGCAGATGCTGATTGGGCCGGATCAATAGAAGATGGGAGATCAACTTCAGGATATTGTACCTTTGTATGGGATAATTTGGTAACTTGGAGAAGTAAAAAACAAAATATAATGACAAGAAGCAGTGTCGAAGCAGAATTTAGAGCAGCTGCACAAGAGATATGTGAAGGACTATGGCTAAAGAAACTCTTGGAGGAATTGAATGTTACAATAAAATTACCTATAAAACTCTACTGTGATAATAAAGTCGTCATCGACATTTCACTTAACCCAGTCCAACATGATCGAACAAAACATGTGAAAATCGATAGACATTTCATCAAGGAAAAAGTAGAAGATGGAGTCATTTGTATGGTGTATGTCCCCGTAAAGGAGCAAAGAGCAAATATACTCACCAAATGACTGTCTCAACAAAGTTTCAACGATTTCACTAGCAAGTTGGATATGATCAATATCTACAGTCCAACTTAAGGTGGAGTGTAGGAAATCGTGTATAAGGAAAGAGAATAAAAATCTTTCTATATTGGTGTAAATTGATAGATTATAAGCTATAACTTATTTTCTCTTTATTCATTTCCTTTTTTAGTTCCATCAATGTATTATAAAAGGATGTATAAGCTGTAATGCCTAATTAATTGAATGAGAACATTACTCTTCTTGTTTCGTTCATGTAGCAAGTGAAGGAAAACAAAATACGGAATTATAAACACTTTACCTAAATATGTCTGGCCGTTGATCATAGTCAACATGCAGGCCAGTTGAACTATCTCGCCATCGGGTGGCTGAAATGTCAAAACAGGTCAAACATCAATGAGAATAAAACATTCCTCTGCTATATTTACAGTTTGTGCTAAATATGTCTGTCCGTTAATCATAGTCAACATGCAGGCCAGTTGAACTATCTCGCCATCGGGTGGCTGAAATGTCAAAACAGGTCAAACATCAATGAGAATAAAACATTCCTCTGCTATATTTACAGTTTGTGCTAAATATTCATAAAAAGGCGACAGAATGCCAGATAATTTACCCAATCCAAGATCAACAAGAAAAAGCTTTTTCTCTTCAGGTGTTCCAACCGGACCAAGCAAAAAGTTCTCAGGCTTCACATCCCCATGCACATATCTGCACAAGTTTTTAGCAGTCATATAAAAGGATTATTCAGAATAAAAATATTCTATTTGAAATAATTGTTAGCAAAGCCATTCAGATGAGCAACTCCTTTTCCTAATTGTTTCGCTACATCATAACGAAACAGTCTTAGTTAAACAGTCAAAATGATGAGACGACGACTTTTTGCGGGCATAAAGAAATTGAAAAACCAAACAGATGGGACCCTCTAAATTGAGATGCATAAAAATAAAATTAAAAAAATAATAATAATGGATTTTTTACTCTATAAAATGCACATGCAATTCTATAAAAGCAATAAGATCTACTTGAACTTATATAAGATGGATCCCTAGAAAGGACATGTTTGGCACACTTTAATGCACTATATCAGAAACTCAATTGAAAACTTGTCAATTGCTGTATGTATATTTAAATGTAACTAAACATAAAATCTAACAATGGAAATAATTATTTACTGAAGAACGAAAGCAACTTAAATGAAGATTTCAATTTTCAACAGAGGATAAGATAAGACTTGGTGAAATAGTCTGCATAGTGAGTATAGACTATACTGGTAACACGCATGACCTATACGCACAAGCACATATATTGACACAACAAATAATTTTTTTACATACTCATCTAGTGTTGGATTTGAAGTAAAACAGTGTTTTATTTATAACCATCACACTGCGAATATGATCCAAACGATTTACCATCTACAACCACATTTGCACTAAACAAACTTTGTATCACTTCACTGAGAGAGGTACGCATAAAAAAATCGATTAAAATTTGCAAGTATCCGAGAATATAAAGCATTTATGAACCAAAGCCGTTGAAGATCTTATTTTACTATATTTTAATATTTTCCATCTGCAAGTCTGCTGATACATCTCTAAACCATTAAATGGTTATTTCAGTCCACATTCCTGTGACAACTACAACTACAATCACACTCACAATCACATTAACATGTCAGCAAAGTGCATACCAGTTCAGCATCTACCAAACCTAAGTGTCTTTACTTATGCAATTCTGGTCAAATTTCAGCCAATAGATAGTGACTTCAAACATGCTAGTCTCTAGTAATCTCCAGTAATCGTCTTTACAAATTCATACCTTCAGATAAAGTAAGTTATGGAAATGGTAATTCTAAAATGAAATACCTGACTATAGTAATCTCAATGAATTTACAAAAAAGATGCTTAATACAACTTGCGAAACAATATACTGCCAAATAAAGACAAGTTTTGCAATTCTTAGAATCGCTATGAAAATGAAGTGTCACACTTATATTCTCTAATTCTATCGTGTTGGAGTCAAGATAAATTAAAAGTAATTACCCTCTAGAGTGCATCTTCTCTAGGATGGAAATTGCTTCGATAGCAATACATGCCACCATTTCGATGGACATACTGTACCAAATGCATTCTGTAGTTAGATGTGTGATATTTACAAGAAATTTAAAAGGGGACAGAATAAAATTTGGCAAATCACTCCAAAAATGAACACTAACGTGTGGGGATTATTGTTCCAGACATCCCACAAGCTAGGACCAAGTATATCCATAACCTGTAAACATGGTATAGTTTGTCACGTCCACATAGTAAATCAGATAAATCATAAACGAAATAGGGGAACAAACTAACTACCACATGAAGCACCTACCATAATGTAATAGTCACTTTGCCGTCCTTTGTAATGTACACGTGGAATGCCATGACTACCACCTAGTGCACTGGGGAAAGCACGGTGAACTTTTGAGACCATTCTCCTGAACTTGTGACATGAAGCTATTATAAGAGAAAATGAAACAACTCACCTGTAGACTTGCCACTCATAAGGGGGTCCATAATTACAGCCTTTGCTGCTCTGATGCTCAAATTTTAAAGCTACCTAGAAATGTCATGAAAGAAATGTTACATTTGCATAAAAAATGCTCACTGCTGCAAGCTACAGAGTATGAAAGTACATACCTCTACAGCTCCTGGACCCGTTGTTTCATTTGGATTTTGGGGATTTATTCGGCGACCAACATACACTTGCCCAAAACCTCCTTTCCCCAGTTTCCTCTCAATTCGATAAGCTGGAGAACCACCAACCAGGACCTGTTTCATATAAAGCAAATTCTAATTAACAAAATTCACAAGTTAGACACAAGGTAACCTGCCCATAAATCTCATATCTGAATTTCACACACGCTAGCTATGTGGAACAGAACCTTGAAGAAAACCATCTGGCATATAACCACAAACAAAATGCATTTATCAGCGAGAGCTAACTTCCTTGTATAGAACCAAAATGTTTGTGTCTACTTTTAAGATTGGCAACAAAAACACAGAAAACTGGACCGGACAAGGGATTTTTTAAAAAAAAAAAATACTTCCCTTTTCCTCATTAAAGCCCATAAAAATTGAATTTTCTAGAAAAGTACTCAACTGAACAATGTAACGTATTACAGAACAGATACATTGAGCCAGAAATGCACAATAAACTCCACTAAATACTAATCCACCAATAACCGCATTTGTCAGCAAAACGCCTACAGCTTCCCCTTCAATTCTCAAGCATGATTTTCTCAAATAAATCCCTCAAAAGGACAATTTTTCAACCAGTACCACACATAAACAGACACCCAAACACCAACAGACTCGAATACAATTGATTACCGGAAAGTAATATTTACAGCTCTCTTTAGCAAAAAGGGTCATTTATGCACTCACAGACCCCAAATAGAAACTACTTAAGCAGATTGCTAAAAAATGAGAGAAAATACTTTTATTAGTTACTCGAAGGATTTATCCGGGGCATTTTCCACTAAGCATCTTTCAACCCCAAAAATTTACCATATAGTTCATCTCCATTTGAAAAGCCAAAAACCGCCAAAATAAACCCATAATTTAAACATCAAAATAACATACACATAACTGTAAAAAATTGTAAAATATTTTAAGAAAACTTCAACATACCCTTTCGGGAAGGGGAGCAGTGCTGCCCTTGTCACCACCACTGTCACACTCATCCATCTTCTTTTCACCCACCTCTTCCTTCACTTCCCCGGCTTTCTTATTACCCTCACCCTTCAAAGACGTCGTATTTCTCAAAGTAGCAGCTGCAGCAACAGCAACATTTTTTCCCCACTATCTCCACCATCATAATCCAGCACCACAAATTCCTTATCCTTATTATTCTTATTATCCTTCTTCACCGATGTTCGTCTCCCTGCAGTTCGCCTGGTGTTCTTCCTATTAAATGCGGTTTTCTTATCCGGGTCGTGTTGTTTAGCTGGCCGGCGGCCTCTACGCAGTTGAGGCATATCGATGATCACCCATCAATACTCCGGTGT